ATTGAATTGGACATTCTGCATTGTTTGAGTAATCTAATACATCCTACAGTTTGTTCATGAATCCACACAAAACATCAAACAGGGCAGTACACTTATTTCCACTCTTTGCAAAGATTTCTCTGCAAGCCATCCTTCTATTCTGTTTGGAGTTAACATAATTCTTGAATGGCATGTGAAGCGTACATCCGAAGGCTAAGTTAGAGATATCAGACCCCAGGAATAAGTACAGTGGCAATGACTAGGGCACTGGCCTCTTGACCTGTTTGGTTATAGCAGATCTGGACACATACCGCACTAATCAGATGGATTCCTTAAATAAGTTGCAGGCATATCTCTTTCACATTTTATCAATACGTAACTTCAACCCATCCTCATTCATCCAGCTATTGTCCTGGATATGTCCTGTAGGGAATCTGATGTTTATCATGGTTTTACACTTGAAAGTGGCCAAAAGCTTCAATTGAGTTCTGTCAGTGTGGTCCTTGTCTTCTCATATCCTCTTTACCTTAGGATTGTTTTTGAACCTTCCCACTCAACAGTTCAGCTGCAGGCATTTCATAGGCACTTTATCACTATTGCCAATCTGACTGAATAAGTTTTTGTTTATTTGCTCCTGCATAATGATGAATCACTAGAAGCTGGTAATTTCGGCATCAGGGTCTCTTGGCAGACTCTGAACAATCTTGATCTTTTGTCATAACAGCAGAGTACTTGGAGAGATAGTCAGAACTGCAGATGCTGGAGTCAGGGATAACACAGTGTGGAGCTGGAGGAACATAGCAGGCCAGGCAGCATCAGAGGAGCAGGAAAGTTAACATTTCGAGTCAGGACCCTTGGAGAGGCTAGGTTTGATCAGAAGTAGTCGGCATGACTTTATCAGAGGGAAGTCAACAAATTTGATTACATTTTTCTAGAAGATGAGCAGGCATGTAGAACGGGCTAGGGCAGTTGATGTAGTTTAAATCGATTTTGGTGAAGCCTTTGATAGGGTCCCACATGGGATACTGATAAAGGTACGGGCACTTGGGGTCCAGGATAAGTTGGAAGATGGATCCAAAATTGGCTTAGTGGCAGGAAACAGAGGGCAGTGGTAGAAAACTGTTTGTGTGACTGGAGATTGGTGTCCAGTGATGTTCCATAGGGATCAGTACTAGGTCCCTTCTTGTTTGTCACATATATAAACAACATTTTACCAGGCAAAATTAGCAGCACGTCACATACTCCATTGATCTGTGAATTCAAAGAGACAGTTCAAAACATAGCATTTTATAAAACCTTGCATTTTCAACACCATCTTTTTGAATATTTTCTTAAATATCATCAGAAAAAGCAGCATGGAAATGTGCCAGTTGTGGTGTTATTTCGCAGGAATATAAATAGCTTTGAGGTTGTTGACTTGCTCACCGAGCTGGCTTGTTTTTGTTCTGATGTTTCGTCACCATGCTAGGTGACATCATCAGTGGAGCCTCCGAAGAAGCGATATTATTCTACTCTGCTTGGAATTTATACTGTCTGGTCCATTATGGTGAGTACTGTCATTTCCGGTTTTGTTCTGTGTGGGTTTATATATGGGGTCCAATTCTGTATGTTTGTTGATTGAAGTATGGGTGGAGAACCATGCCTCTAGGAATTCCCATGCGTGTCTATGTTTGGCTCGGGCTACTATGGTTACTTTGTCCCAGTTAAACTGATGGCCTTCATTGGCTGAATGTATAGATCTTAAGGAGAGCTCATTGTGCCGTTTTGCTGCTAGCTGGTGTTCATGTATTCTGACGGCTAGCTTCCTTGCTGTCTGTCCCAAACATAGACACACATGGGACAAAAACAACATCACTGGAAAAGCTCAGCAGGTCTGGCAGCATCTGTGAAGGAGAAAACAGAGTTAATGTTTCGGGTCCAGTGACCCTTCCTCAGAACTGGGACACATGGGAATTCCTAGAGGCATGGTTCTCCACCCATACTTCAATCCACAAGCATATCGAATTGGACCCCATATACAAATCCATGCAGATCAAAACCGGAAATGATAGTACTCACCATAATGGACTGGACAGTATAAATTCCAAGCAGAGTAGAATAACATCGCTTCATCAGAGGACCCACTGATGATGTCACCTTGTATAGTGACGAAACGTCTGAGCAAAAACAAGCCAGCTCGGTGAGCAAGTCAACAAACTCATCCACAACCCGAGCTACAGATCTTTGCCAATACTTTATACAAATAGCTTTGTTTCATCACAAATTGCTACTCACTATTAACTGTGACTCTAACCCACCATTCCTGACAGCACGTGATATTCATTCTCGAGTTCAAATGCTTCCATCCTTTCGGAGTGGACTGAGCCAAAATGACAGAGAGAGGGCCCAGCTGCCCTGGATTGAATGCCAAGCCTGATTTTCCTATATTCTGACAGCTATGAGATGGAACATGGCATTTTGTACAAAGTGACTGGTTAAGACTGTCCTGTATCTTGCCAATTGGGGGTGATATCTTACTGCAGTGACATCATGTTCGCTATTTCGCAGTTTCTTGGAAATTGTAGATCACGTGTTGATCCTATGCCATGCATCATCTTACGAACCGAAAGAACTGCAGATGCTGTAAATCAGGAATAAAAACAAAGTTGCTGGAAAAGCTCAGCAGGTCTGGCAGCATCTGTGAAGAAAAAAATCAAGGTTAATGTTTCGGGTCCGGTGACCCTTCCTCAGATTGAACCCGCGTTCCTGGCGCTGTGAGGCAGCAGTGCTAACCACTGAGCCACCATGCCACCCAAAATGTATAGCCTTACAGAATTAATGTCCATGATTGCTCATGATCATTGCAGGAGACTGTTTCTCCCAGATGTTGCTGTTGAAGGTGGCAGCTTAGGTTAAAAAAAAGTAGTATTGGTACCTGTTCAGTTTAACACTGAGGTAGTCTGTCGCTTTCAGTGGAAATAGGACGGCAATCCAGAAATTCCAAAAGCACAAAGCAGGTACCAGAGTACTGTTTTTATCTCAATTAAACGAGAGTTCTCTCTTTTTGCTTTAATCCCTGGTTCTCTGGTATTATTGTCAGGGTATTCATCGTTGAGATTTTCATCAGGAGCAGCAAAGCAAACAACGGAAACCAGCTTTCTCTTATGGTACTCACCCTGTTCTCTCAGCTGCAAAGTTTCGTATTGAACACAATGTGCAAGAAAATGCAGTTAAATTGACAGAAATGCAATGTCATATTTAAAAAGTAGATCTGAGGCACAGCAAGATGGGGAATTTGCACCAGGTTACAGGATTGCACCATTAGTGTACTGTCTTTCTGTTAACAGATTAGCAGAAATTGGGTTAAACGCTGATTATGATTAAACAGACTGATGTTAAATCCAGAGAGGAGTGGGACAGGCTGATTAAAAGCTCTGGGTTACAGGTCTTTGATGGGAGAATCATCAGGGTATTTAAATGTATTCAACACTTGTGCAGTGCTCAAAAGTGGTGGGCTGTTTGAACACTTCTCCCACACCCCTGGATGGGTGACAAGAATCTGACTGGTGATCCCTTTCTCATTTCAGTTCCTTTCTACCACTTCACTTCCTCTGTTCTATAAATGCTATGGTGGTCAGTATTCCTCTCTTATTCCTTCTTAAACCCAAATTACACATTCCCGTTCATTTATTCTTCACATACATTTCTAACATGGATTTTATTTCAACTTAGTCTGTCCCAGTCTCTTAAAACTGTGCAACTCCTTATCTCCCTCAAACTTCCTACTTAGATTAGAGCCTTCTAAAATCCAAGTCTGGCACCACATAATCATATTTCCTGATTTGCCTCCTGTTTTTATTCATAGAAACATAGAAAATATGAGCAGGAGTAGGCCATTCGGCCCTTTGAGCCTGCACCACCATTCAGTATGATCATGGCTGATCATGCAATTAAGGTACCCCACTCTCGCTTTCTCTCCACACCCTTTGATCTCTTTAGCCGCAAGGACCATGTCCAGCTCCTTATTGAGTATATCAAGCAAACTGGCCCCAACAGTTTTCTGTGGTAGAGAATTCCACATGTTCACAACTCTCTGAGTGAAGAAATTCTTCATTATTTCAGTTCTGAATGGCTTACCCCTTATTCTTGGACCGTGACCCCTAGTTCTGGACTTCCCCAACATTGGGAGCTTTTTTTCCTGCATCTAGCCTGTCCAGTCCCATCAGGATTTTATATGTTTCTATGAGATCCCCCCTCATTCATCTCAATTCCAATGAGTACAAGCCCAGTCGATCCAGTCTATTTTCACATATCCATCCTGCCATTCCAGGAATCAGTCTGGTGAACCTTCGCTGGACTCCCTCAACAGCTAGAATTCTTTATTCTTTATTCATTCACAGGATGAGGGCATCACTGGCCAGGCAGCATTTATTGCCCATCCCTAATTGCCCAGAGGCAGTTAAGAGTCAACCACATTGCTGTGGGTCTGGAGTCACATGTAGGCCAGACCAGGTAAGGATGGCAGTTTCCTTTCCTAAAGGACATTAGTGAACCGGATAGGTTTTTCCAATGATTGGCAATGGATTCACGGGTATCATTAGATGGTTAATTCCAGATATTTATTGAATTCAAATTCCACCATCTGCCATGGCGGGATTCAAACCCGGGTTCCCAGAATGATGTCTGGTTTCTGGATTAACAGTCCAGCGATAATACCACTAGGCCATCACCTCCTCTTTTATGTCCTTCCTCAGACTGGGAGACCAAACTACACACCATTCTTTCCAGTCTTGAGATATCTTAGAAAATGAGCTGTGGATATTCATTTCCATTTCTGAATGCAACCACCATGGTGAGATTTGCATAGTCCAGGTTGCTTAAAGATTGGTTCTGAGAAATGGCTGTTTGGAGGACGACACTGATTGGATGATGATACACAGTAGTGTTGTGAATGTCCTGATGAACTTCAATCTTACAGCCAGGAAATTTGATGGGGTCTGCCAAAAAGAAAAACTAACCTCCTTTTCTTTTGTTTGCTCCAGATTCACCAAGCCCCTGACGTTTGCGGATTGTGTGGGAGATGAGCTCCCTTTGGGTTGGGAGGATGCGTATGATCCTCAGATTGGCATCTTCTACATTGACCACATCAACAGTAAGTACTTCCTACAAGACTGAGGTTGTAATTGTCATGGCCCCTCACTCAATGAACTGTTTGACTGACTAAGTTAGGGAATGATAGTGAACTCCTTTATCCATGATAAAAGTTGCTATGCAACAGCATAATTTAAGATAAACATAAACCCAGTGGAGAAACATTACAGCACTGTTTTGATAAAGGATCTGTTAAAGGATCTATGCCTGAAACACTAAGCCATCTTTTCTCTATCCAAACATTATATAGGTACTGGTTTTCATTTTGGGCCTTCATGTTTGCGGAATTTAGAAATCTATCCAACTCCACTGCATATATGCATGCTTTTTTAAACAAATGAATAAATTTGGAACCTCGAACCTTTCTTTATTCATTCATTCTCTAGGGCCTGAAGACTTCCCAATTTCTCCTTAAACAGAAACTTACTCTGCCAGACTTATTGTCAGTTCAAGCCATTTTGAATATTCGAAATTGTTGATGAGTCCAGAAAATCATCCAAGCCAGTTGAGTGCTGTTCATGCCAATATTTCCTGTTTGTTTGTTCTCAATGTTTTGAACCAATCAAAAAATGAGAATTTTAGTCTTGAGATAGATTTGGTAAATATGTGGCATGGCTTTGGGCCATGTCCATTCCTGTGAAAGCTGGGTGATCCATCCATTCAATATCTGTCTGGTGCCTGTTGAGTTTTAGAGGAAACCAGAGCAGTTGATATCTCCTGCCCATGTTGTCTACTTTTTGTTCCTTTATTCATTAACAGGATAAGAGCATTGCTGGCCAGGCAGCATTTATTGCCCATCCCTAATTGCCCAGAGGGCAGTTTAGAGTCAACTGCATTGCTGTGGCTCTGGAATCACACATAGGCCAGAGCAGGTAAGGATGGTAGTTCCCTTCCCTGAAGGACATTAGTAAACCTGTTGGATTTTCCAACAATCAACAACGGATTCCTGGTCATCATTTGATTCTTAATTCCAGATATTTTTGTGGAATTCGAATTCCACCATCTGCCATGGCAGGATTCGAACCCAGGTTCCCCAGAACATTGTCTGGGTCTCTGTATTAGCAGTGTGGTGATAATACCACTAGGCCATCGCCTCCCACCTCTGCATAGGCTATTGTTACAAGGAGTTGAAAATGTATTGTAGACATGCACTGCACCTTCGAAGTTTTAAAGTCATGACTTCTTTGGATTCTGTTGAACCAGAGCTAGCCACTCCCAATTGTATGCAGTAATCAGCTGAGTACTATCAGAGTAAGACTGCTTGACCACTGCGTTATCACCAGCAAGTTTACATTTTTCTTTGTTTATTTGGTTAAAATAAATAAAAACCCCTTTCAGTTTTGTGCTCTTTGCCATATTTTTTAAAGTTCATAAATTATAATATGGTCACAGTGAGGGGATGATTATAAAACTTTGAACAATCACCACACTACCAGAAAGATATGGTCTCTTTGGAGAGGGTGCAGTAAAGGTTTACCAAGATGTTGCCTGGTATGGGGGATTTTCGCTCTAAGGAAAGGTTGGATAGACTGGGTTTGATTTTACTGAAACGCAGGAGGTTGAGGGGCGACCTGATAGAAGCTTATAAGATTGTGAATGGCATGGATAGGGTGGGAAGTATGAGGCTTTTTCCCAGGGTGGAGGGATCAGTTACTAGGGGACACAGGTTCAAGGTGCAGGCTGGGGACAAGTTTAAAAGAGATGTGTGGGGCAAGTTTTTCACACAAAGGGTGGTGAGTGCCTGGAACATACTGCCAGAGGAGGCAGTGGAAGCAGACACAATAGCAGCTTTCAAGAAGCACCTGGACAAATACATGAATGGGAAGGAAATAGAAGAATACAGATCCTGTCAGTAAAGACAGTTTTAATAAGGAAGGTCAAAATGTGTCAGCGTAGGCTTGAAGGGCCAAAGGGCCTGTTCCTGTACTGTATTGTTCTTTGTTTGTTTAATCAGAAAGGGATATTGCTCACTGTCGGGATAACGTTGTAATATTGTTTGCAGAGTATGCATTTTTAAATTACTAAGAAGATTTAGTTTAATTAGATCAGGAGCATCCAGTTTCCAAACACTGGATTGCAGATCTGAAGTTTTCCACTCAGTCACATTGTAGAGCATCAATGATAACGTTTATGATCCTCCTGTTTAATTCTGTAAAGAGCTAAAGTTGTGATCTTTGTACGGGAAATGGATGCACTCTTCCAGTAACTGAGTGAGTTTATCGATCTAGTATTGGAGACGTTCACACCAGGAGGATTCTTGCTTTGATCTCAAATCTCTGCTGATTAGCTATTCTATAGCAGTCTGCTAAAGATAATACCGTTGTCATCAGGCTCCCCCCAAGCAGAAGTTTCTGTTGTAGATCACTATCTGATGATCTTTATGAAAAGTGCATGCATGTTGACAGTGGGGAGTATCAGAGTTAGGCGCAGCTGTTTTGAGGTCCCGATTCTAACATCAGCGACAATTGTTGAGCCTGCTCAGAATGCTTCATGATTCATGAATGAATAGTATTCAGCAAGGTGCCAATGCGCTCAGGAGAGCAGGATAGAAAACAATGGGGTAGAAACAAAGAAATATACTAGGAATTAGGCCATTCGGCTCATCAGTTCCCACTTTCACTCCCCTGTCTTATGTTCTTATTGTTAAGAGAATCAAAAGTTGTGAGGAAAAGACAGAAAAGGTGAATTGAGGATTATCAGATTGGCCATGTTCTCATTGAATGATGGACTGGAATTGATGTGTGTTGTGATTGGAACAAGGTGGATCTTATTGACTGTGAGATCCTTGATTGGAGTTGTCAATGTGGGCCAATCAGGGAGTCCTAGGTGACAGCTATAACCAAGAGATTCAGAATCTCCTTACTGAATCTCCTTCCTCCAAGCTGGCTGGTCACAGGCAGTATTACTGTGCACATGTAAATTAAGGGTGACTTAGTGATGGGATACTGGCCTCTGTGCAGTTATTTCAATGGGACAAATGGCCTTATGGTCTCATGGAATTACTGTTTCCAATAGTGTAAATGGAGAAGTACATCTTCAACGGAAAGTATACCATTTTATTATTATGTGCTGCCCAACCAGATTGAAATAGAAGATATTTTGAAACTAATACCCAGGCAACGGTAAAACAGTGGCTGGATCTTTAAATGTTCACCTGAAAATCTACTAAAGCTTGTGATTAATTCAAAAGCTTCTCTTCTACGTGTTTAATCTCCCTCACTATACTACTCATTCTTAAACTCCCATCCTTTGTTTTGGCCTCCACCATTCTGAGGGTTTCTTTCGCCCATTCTCTGCTGTGTTTCAGTTCTTTCCCATCTTTTTCTCATTTGTCTCCCCCTCAGTTGCATTTTTTAAGCATTACACTGATCACTAAGTGTTATTCAACCTTACTGCTGACTGGGATGATTTCTTGAAAGTGAAAACTTCTTCAGACCCCAGTTCCTCACTCTAGTACAGCCTTCCTCACACAAACATTTCTCCAGTTGTGAATGGGAAAAATGTGTGCGGCGGTAATTTTCAAAAAGATGTAGTTATATGCCAGTGCTTATGAGGTACACAAGGCACTGCGGCCCTGTAAGGTTGTCTCAATTATGGCTGCGAAATCCGCAAAAGCAAATAATGATTATTATTTAAAAAGGGACCAGTTGTGTGCAACATTAAACTGGGATCGTCAACTCTAAGTTCTGCTAAATGTTGTTGTTTCCTGGCATTGCCTTTTCATTTGCCACTTTTCTTTTGGTAAGGTTAATATACTTACACCCAAGTGAGGCGCCACAAGTAATTGACAAACAGTTTTACCAAGCAGTATAAATATTGTTGCCGAGCAGTTTTAAGAAGATGTTTGAAAATGCTACGCATCTAAAGTGGAATAGAAGCTTTTTTTTTAGTTTCTTATAGATGAAGGTGTGTTTAAAATAACTAAGCTCAATTTTAAAGTTGATTATTCAATTTAACAGCACAGTTGCTCTGGTCTCAATATGAGAAACTGATTTGAATGTATTTCTGTATCTGCTGATGGGTTTGAGCTTCTGTTTATTTAAAAGTAGAATAACACTGTTGATACACTGCTAGGTTTACTATTATCAACGTGGGTGGGTTGAGGAGTCTGCGTCTGTATGTTTCTGATCACCTGCAGTTTGACTTGAGTTTCACAGGCAGCTTATGGACAGACGCACTTACACTGGCATCACAATGACAGGCACAAAAGGCTCAAGGTTACATCATTTAATCATTCCATTATACGTCTTACACTTTTTTTCCCGCAGTGCGCTTTTTTTTTGTTTTTAAACTTTTTGCTGTTAACTTTGTATCCAAGCTGGAGAATGGAACCGAGTTTCCAACTTTATCATAAAACCCTCTCGGGTCAAGTTTTACTAAAACTACAGGGGTAGCTGCAAAGTAAAGCATCAATTTGCCTCTATATCTGACTATCTTGTTATTGCTAACTGAGTGCTAGGTAGGGGAGGTTTTGTGCAGCAATGCGCCCCTAATAGAAACTGCATTGAGACAATTCAAGGCAACGTGGCCATTGCAGTCAACAGAGAGATCATTTTCAATTTTACCATCCAGGCTAGAACTAAGTACAAGTCTCGATAGTGAAAGGGCCGTATATAAAGTACTCCCAGTATATAACCGTTTTCCAGTGAGTTTCTTTAATATTATTACCAGGAAAGGAGTCGAGGAACCAAAAGATAAATTACTATCCTGCTTGGTGCTAATGTAGAATGGGAGTTATTTTCACCCTGCTATAATCAGTATGATTGAATAACTTGCCTCTATGTAGTTCATGAGTTTTCAGTTCCTTCACGGAACAATTGACATCAGTGTCATTTGTTGCCCGTCCCTGAACGGCTAGATTCTGTGTGAATTACCACTTATAGAGTCATAGAGTTGTACAGCACGGAACCAAATCCCTCAGTCCAACTCGTCCATGCCGAGCAGATATCCTAAACTGGTCCAGTCCCATTTGCCAGCATTTGGCCCTTATCCCTCAGAACT